GTGGGGGGGGGGGGGGGGAACCTCTGGAAGTTATCTAGGTCAACCTCCTGATCAGAGTAGGGCTAACTTTGAAAGCAGATCAATTTTTTCAGGGCTATGTCCAATCAAATTTTGAGCATCTCCTGGGATGGAGATTCTACAACCTTTCTGGGCACCTGTTCCAGTTCTGGACCATCTTCACCAGAAATATTTTTTCTGATGTACAGTTAATTTCCCTTGCAGCAGCTTTGCTGTTGCCTGTTTTTTCTTTGAGAAGAATCTGAATCCCTCTTCTCTATAACCATCTGTTATGTAGTTGAAGACCACAGGTCCTGCAGCCTTAACTTTTAGGCTGAGCAAACTGTTGCATGTCATGTGCTGCAGCTTTCTAACAGTCTTGGTGGCCCTCCATTTGACTTGCTTCAGGTTTGTCAACATCTTTTTGTACTGAGGAGCTGAAAATCGGACATGGTACTGCAGATGTGGCCTTATGAGTATTGAATAGAGGGGAATGATCACTCCTTTAACCTTCTAGCCATGCTCTTACTATGCAACCAGGTATGTGGTTGACCTTTATTGCGGCAAGGGCATGCTGCTGACTCATATTCAGTGCGTGTACTGTTATCCCCGAGTCCTTTTCTGCAAAGGTGCTTTTTAGCCAGTGTGATCCCAATGTGTATTGTTGCATGGGGTTATTATTTCCCAGGTGCAGGACTGATGAACTGCAAGAATTTTCTGTCAGCCTATCACTCCAGCCAGTCAAGGCTACTCTGAATGGGAACCTTACCTTCCCGTATTTTGGGTTGTCCTTCTCTTTCCCCATCTGCTTCCATTTAGTTTGGTGTTACCTGCAAAGTTGCTGAGTTGCATATCCCATCAGCCAGATGGGTAAGAAACAAAGTGATATTGGCCCCAGAGCCAACTCCTGAGGTACTCCACTGGTGACTGGAGACCTGCTATATTTCAAATTGTAGACTACTGAAGTTTGAGCACAGCAATCCACCTATTTTTTTCACCCAGCTTGTAGGCTGTCCATGCACTCCATAACTGCCCATTTTGGCTGCAAGGATACTAGAGGAGACTGCATCAAATGCCTTGCCCCAAAGTCAAGGTAAACATCCACTGTTCTGCCTTTGTCCATAGGGCCCATCATCTCATCATAGAAGACAACCAGGTTTTTCTAACACTATAGTGCTGGATGTTACTGGTCACCTTCTTATCCTTCATGTGCCTGGATATTGCTATGAGAAGGATTTGTCCCATAATTTTCTCAGGGTTCAAGGTGAGGCTAGCTGCTCCGTAGTTCCCTATATCTTCCCCCTGTTCCCTCCTCTTCATTTTGAAGTTGGACATGATGTGCAGAAGGGTTCAGCACAATCCATCAGGAAAATGATCCTCTACAGAGATTTCCTAGGCTTCATTCGTTATTGTGATGTATAAGAGTTTAAAAAAAACAACCGCTAGAATTGCTGTAAGATGCATATAAAGTTGTAAATGGCAGAGTCAGGCTTCTTTGAGTGCTGCTCGTACCTGAACTTAATGTGATCTAGTAAGCAATTGTGTCAGACCCATGTGTCTAGCTACAGTTCCAAGTTGGTCTAGTTGAAGGTAATCTTAATGATGGATAGTCCTTTTGTACACGGCTGCTTCCACCGAAAGAAATTCGTAATACAAATTAGTATTAACAAGGTCATCTGCTCTTTGTTCTAAGAGAACTGAAGAATTCTACAACCTTATTTATTCAGCAGTAGGCTATTTACTAGGCAGCTGTCCAAGGATAGCTATCCTCTTTCTTATCTATAGGGCAACTAATAAAGATGTTCTAATAACTGCTAGTTATTAGAATGAGCATAACACAGACTTGTAACAAAGTAAAACAAAAACTATTTGAAGATTCATCAATTGCTTTTAAGAGATGCCTTGCTGTCATTTTAGGTGTGTGTTGCATGTCTCTAACAATAGTGATTCTAGGTGACTGAAAGAACTGCTGTAAAATCAACAGTCATGTACATTGAAAATGAAAGACATTTGAAAAGGGTAGGAAAAACTTCCTAAAATCATTTTTCCCCAAATCACTGTTAATGCTTCTGTAAGAGGTTGAGAACTATGATCCTGCTAAAAGCAAGATTTGAGGCCT